GTCCTCATTTTTTGATTCGCAATTTCTCCAGTGCGGAGCATCATCTGTAATACTAACATTTTTCTAAGGATGTTCAGATTGGTAGCAATACTGTTGTCATTCCCACCCCTCTTATTTATTTTTGATTTGTAAAGGACACAAATTTAAGCCAAAGTTGTTCAAGAATTGAAAGTGGACATTGCCAACATGCATACATGCATTTTCTAATTCATTTTTATTAGAAGGAAAACGAAGAACTAGACAAAATATAAGGTTGCATTGAGGGACGGAAGTGACATTCGAAGAAATATCACTGTGCACGTTTATTTCTGGCAAAGAACGTTAGTTAACTTTGCCTCAAGAGAAGTATTCTTCAATATTTATTCATACTATCTTCCGAGATCTCGAATTTTAACCTCAGCTTTTATTTCATGTAGGATTTTTGTTTGTAAAAAAAGTAATTAAGAAACGAAAAAATTGCTGAATGTGCTGAAGAAGTTGTAAAGACTCATATAATGTAAAAAGGTAGTAATCTGAGGTGTAATAAACATGTTGTTTATAAAAGTTCCTTTGTAGCAAAGTAGTATTGATCATAAAATTTCCTTTATTTGAAAATTTGATTGTCTCCAGCGACTTTTGATGAAATTTCAGAAGCATTTAAAAAAATCAATGCGAATTATTGAGAATATTGATGCTTAGCAAACTCCAATGACGTCATGAAAAGGTAAGCTTATTAAGTTAAAGCTCTTATCCAGAAGTAGATACTTATTTGGAATGTAGCTGTCTTAAGAAGCTTTATAAAACTGTTGCTCGATTAAAGGTTTGAAAAGATCGTTTTTCTACATTTTCGATTTTACTATCATAGATCGTTTCATATCCAGAATTCCGATTCATCTTGCAGTCTATTAGTCTATCTCCGCATCAACTGATATCGACACAGTACTATTTTTGATCTGTTTTGAGAGTCTTATGAAAGCTCGTATTTGAGCACTTTAAATATTCGACATTGAGAAGTGTTTACTTTTAAATGTATGTAGCTGTTATGTGCGTTTGTGTGTGTGTATGTGTGTGTGTGTATGTGTGTGTGCATGTGTGTGTACACCTACCATATGTATGCATTGATGAAGAGTTTGTGAATAGGTGCTCAGCAAAAACTCTTATTTTACGAACTACACATGCAGATACATTATATATATATATATATATATATATATATATATATATATATATATATATATAT